CACTATTCTATCTTTGCAAATTAAACAGTGTACTATAAATTGGAAATATTCCCTTAAAAACTTTTAACACCAAGCCAGGAATGGTGCTGCATACCTGTAATCTCACTACTTTGTGGGGCTGAAGCAAGAGAATTTCAAGTTCAGGAGGAGCCCATCCTGAACGACTTAGCAAGACTCTTGTCTTGAAACAAAATATAAAAAAGGGCTGGGGATGCAGCTCAGAGCAAAGACCTTAGGTTCAATTTCCAGCATTAGAAAAAAAAAGAAGAGGAAAAAAAAAAATCACAACTTTTTAACACTAAAGTTATTAAAATAATCCTCCAATTTAGGAAAATCTGAGTTGCTTTCATTCTGTTACAATCTATTAGCTCACCATGTAAAACCAAAAGCTTTTTAAATATTGCTGTAGTATTGTTTCAAACCAATCAGCAGAAGATTCTGATGAACTATGGTCACTGTTTCATTCTCAGCAGGAATAGGTAATTATGTTCATTCATACACTAACTTTAGCTTTCTTGTACTTATACATACTCTTTAAAACTAAAACAACACTAGCATCTTTCCTCAGGCATTCAACCAATGCTTAGAACACAAGAAATATTAACCAAGTGTCATTTTAACGTGATTATTTTCTTTGTTGTATTATTATCAAAAATATAAAATGCCAAAGACCTTAAAAAAAACACAGAATTTACAGAATGCTTTAAGTAGCATCTTATCTTTGTACATGACAATACTAGCTACTACTACGCATTAAAAACACAAACATTATTTTTTATAGCAACAACTATTATTAGACTTTAGCACTAAAGTTGAAAACTAGTTCATAACTCACTTGTATTTGTTATGGTCTAGGTCTAAAATGTCTCCTACAAATCTTATGTCTGGAGGTGGAGCCTGACCATCCAGAAGTGGCCAATCACTGGGGCTGTGACTTGGAAGGGTGTATTCACATCCCGGTTACCCTCTCTCTGTGTTTTCTGGCTGCCATGCAGCGAACAGGTTTCCTCTGCCATATCCTATCACTATGCCTGTTCTGCCCGAGAGCCTACCAACCATGGACTAAACACACTGAAACTGTGAACCCAAATAAGCCTCTCCGTGAGTGTCAAGTATTTGTTCTGGTAATGAGAAAGCTAATACACTGTTACACCTTTTCTTGTTTTTTTCTTTTATTTATACTTTTAAAAGTACTTGGCTACCTGATGGTGACTTCTCACATACATCATGATCAATCTAGGTGCCTTGATAAAAAGAATAATAGCTTCTATTTTCACTTTAGTTTACCAGTCAGAAAAATAAGAAAGAAGAATGATCAGAAAAATTGGAAAAATATGAAACAATTTTTTAAAAACTACATGTTGTTCTGTTTTTCTGAAACAGGATCTGTCACTCACTATGATTCCTTCCTTTTTTGCTTTTCCTCAAGCTATAGAGGGCTCTGTATCATCTACTAGCCTAACATCACTGGCATTTTCCTAAGACTGATTTTCAAATGCCCTAAAATGCAATGACTGCCAGAAAAGCACCACTGCATCCTGGACCTTTACAGACTCTCTTTCAGGAAAAGCAGTGCATTGACTGTTGCTCCAGCTAAGTGAAACAAACACCCAGGGTGGAAAATACAGGGATTTATTATCTTCAAGGTCACTCGTGAGTAAGTAAAAGAATGAACAACATATCTGAGGAAGAGATGTCCAAGAAAGGAATTGTGTCCCTTACCTCAAAGCTAAGAAGAAAACATTGTTATTGTTCTGTGAGTCCTATTAAAAGGAAAAAAGATTCACGAATCATTAAGAATTGTTTTAAAAAGTGAAAATTAAAGGGGAATCGAAATAAATCCATGGGAAATGTTTCTCATAGAATTTTCATAGGTAAACCTCTAGGAGCTACCAACTTGGCTTTTGTTTCTTTGTTTTGATTTTTTTGAGATTAGGGCTTGCCATGTAGCTCAGACTGGTCTTGAACTTGTGGCAATCCTCCTCCTTTAAGCTTCTCGTGTGCTGGGATTACAGCATGCATCACAACGCTGGCACCAAGTTGGCTTAATTATCTTCTTACAATACTTTTAAGCCCTCCACAATATACATAAAACAAAGCAATGCAAACTGTGCTACATGGCACTTAAAATAATTGTAACATAGAGGACTGTTTTCATCTGTAGCACTAATACTTGGCTAAATTTCAGTGAACAGTTGAATTACTCCTAAGTGAAATCAGAGGATACACGAAGACCACATAGGCAACTCTGGCTTAACTTCAATGACAAAATATTTAGAAACTCTTATGACTACTCAAACAAGATCTCTCTAGAATGGAAAACTAGAATTTGTTTTGTTTGTTTCATATCAACTTTAGAAATGGTCCTCACAGATAGGTATTAGTTTATATCTTTATAAAGATATAAACTTTATATTAGTATAAAGTTTATATTAGTTTATTATTAAGTATTAGTGTATTATCTTTAAAATTTATTGTGCAATACAGTAATCTTACATGTACAAAATTATAATTCCTTTATAATAAGCTCGCCTCTGAAATCAGTGAGAATTTTGCTAATATAAGCATTGCTCAGAAATCACCATGACAGTCTGACTAGAGTTTAGAATAAGGAAGCAGCAGCTTTTCAATTAGTTTTTCCAGCCCAAGATTCAAAACCAAGACCACACATACCTCATAAAACAAACCAAGCTACAAAACTATACTATTTAAACATTAAACTTAACTATCTTGGAAGAATGAATTATCATTTCAAAAATTTTTTAATGAATCCAGACTAGTGAGTGCTTTACTAAACCATCATTACATAGTCCCATTAAACATACATGAAGCACAGGAATCATACAGTACCATGAAATCCTCCTCCTTCATTAGACCTTAGCTTTTTACACTGGGGTTTAGGGTATGAACATATTTCAGTTCATCAGATGTGAACTGGAAATACTAAAAGCGTTTGAGGAGATTAGGTGGCTAGCTTGAATGCATTCCAATATAAAGCTTCTCTACACACTTATATAAGTGAAAGGTCCTAAAAATTATACAGACAGACTTTGGGGTAAGAAAAAGCTATGCAACACTGCATCTGGGCCAGCAGGCGTCTCTCTATAGTCCACAAGGCCTACCAAGATGGCCACGTGTAGAAGATCATACCACTGCTGTAACTATATAATCCCTGGGCCATGTAAAGCCATGGAATATAACATTACACCATCAGAATAGTTAATTTTTATGATGAACTGTATATAGAGCTCTAAATGTCATAGGAATTAATGAAAATTATAAGGTGTGATCAAAAGATAGAGTAAACGTTGAAAATTTTAAAAATTATAATAGTAAAAGACATTTTACCCTTAACTCCCCCCCTTGAAATATTCCCTCTTACTTCAGAAACACTTATCCCATTATTCTTGCTACTTTCTTTAGCAGTTCTGTAAGTCTTCTTTCATGAGTGTCTAGCTGTGCTGTCATGGCAGCTTCAATGTCCTTGATCAGTTCAAAATGTTCACATCAATTTCTGTCAAATACTGTAAGATATTATAGTGTGTCCTCATTCACTTTATTCACAAGAATGGTATCATGTACCCACTGACTCTTCTGCGAAGTCAAAATGACCATGAAAGTTAAATGTTTTGAATCAATTCAGGGCATCAAGACAGCCACAACACCACAAATACTTCTGAAAGTTGTAAGAATGAAGGGGTAAATGTGTCTGATGTGAGGGAGGGTGCTTTTGAGGGGAAGTGATGATGTGTCTTTTACTGTCATACATTTTTAAAAATTAAACTTTCACTGTATATTTTGATCACACAGTGTAAGTTATTTGTTTGCTTAGCCAGGGTCCTGCTGTGTGCCCAGGCTGGTGTCAAACTCCTGGGTCAAACAATCCTTTCAAGTTCAGCCTCCCAAGCTGTTGGAACTATAGGCACGTATCTGTGCATATTAAAATGACATTTAATACACAAGAGCTAACAGCAGAGGGATGTATTTCATTCAAAATGGTAAATAAAATGATTCTTAGCTATTGGTCAGAAAGAAAATGTTAAAGTTCAAATACAAAGTTGAAGAGAGAATGGTAACTGAGAAAACAGAAGCTAGTTTCAAAAGGCAGAAAGTGCAACACATAAAGGATTAAGGCAAGTTTGAGGGGTTTTTCAGGATGAAGAGACTCATGCACATCAATGCAGAAAATGGGTAGATGGGCAAAAAAGCGTGTGCGCCATTACAACACTAAAATAGAGCAAGTTTATCAAAGGACAGCTCAGTAGCACCACATGAAACCCATTTCAGGCTGAAGGCCAGGGAACGGTGGAATCGACAGCATCAATCACTGGGAAAGACCTGAGTCTCTGAACAGAGGCAAAAAGACGCAGAATTTGGCACCAATCCAAAGAGGTCAGGGTGGAGTGAGGAGGAAGGGGACATTTCAACACTGAGGCGCACAGTGCAGTCCCTGACACCTACAATGTGCCCTACTCCTGTTTGCTGACTATATCAGTAGCTTGCAATGCCAACAGCTTTTCAGGTCGGCACTTAGGCAGGTTCAACAGTCTGCGTTTTCTAATTCCAATTTACCATGTCACCTGCAGAAAGTGGCAGCACTGTTCCTCATGTCACCCTTCTCCAGGCCATGTCAACCTCAAAGAAGCCCGTTCTATCTCCAAAACTGAAACCAATCTGACATGAGGCCATCATTAAGGGGTGTTCAAATGGTTAGTCACAGATGAAGTGGTCAGGGTTCTCTGTGCCACTGAACAGGCCACAGAGAGGCCACATCAGAACCTACCAGTGATGCTCACGCTTGCTTTATGTAGGTGGTTATGGTGGGGACTTTTTTGTATGACTCGAGTTGGCTCACTAGGGCTTTAGGACACTTAGAAGTACTTAATAATAACGAACACTTACATACCATTTACCTATTTACTGCCAAGTACTGTTCCACACATGTATAAATATTAACTTGCTTAATACATGTATATACAACTTTTGCCAGTTTCAGTTACCTGTTCAGTGGTTTTTTTGGTTGCATTGAAAGTACGTTTGCTTTTTCCATTTTTTTCCTGCAAAAGATAAAGAGAACACTGTTAGTGCGCAGTCACAAATGCACAAATGTTTTACATCACTATTTGATATTTTCCAAACTCAAAGAGTACCAAAAGGGCTTCCCTTAAGTTCTAATCTATTCTTTCCAATACCTAAATTTACTGGCTTCATAAAAGGATCTATTAAAATATACCATCTCTGCACGTACTACTAATAAGGAATTTGAAAAACAAATACTTTATGGTTTCAAAGGACATTAAATTGACACAGTAAACATGGCACAGGAAAACAATTTAGAGTATCTTTGACTCTGAATTCTTCTATCTTTGATATGATTTTTCAAAGTATGTTCCCACTGAAAATCTTTTTTAGGTGAACACCTTTCCTCCCAGGTGAAATAACTACAGTTCTAAAGATAGGATGGGTTGGGAGATGTAGTTTTTAAAAAGTTTTACTTGAAATTTTAAAGCACTGTTATGGAAAGTCGGGGAAAAAAAAGGGTGTTGCTTAGGCAAGTCAGATCTTTAAAAAATCTGCCATGTGTTTGTCATCTTAGAGAATTCATGACCGTCCTGGTTCTGTCCTTCAATTCTGGTTTCAAAAGTCTATCACACTAGTAAGGTCCCATAAAGGATCTAGTTTATCAATATTTACATACTGATGAAGCTTTCAAGAGACTGATAAAACCAGAAGGCCCCTGTATGCATTCACAATGAAAAAGTCAGGCAGTCTGGACATCTGCACCATTCAGTTTGACTAACATAGTTCCATTTCTTCACTCAGCGGCTATTTACTGAGAGTCAATATACCCCAGGCACAGCCTTCTAACAGGCAGGTTAAAGATCAGACACCAGCTGCAGCGGAATTTTAGTGAGCCCATGCCAGCCACCACTACCTCCGTGGCATGGCCTCTCTCTCTGTCCACCAGCTTGTCCCTAGTCCATGCCACCAATGTCTTGCAAACACAAAACATCTCCTGGACAAACACAAAACACTTCTAGCTATTTTTCTAGTTTCCACACTTTCACCCTTCTAACCTATCACCTACCACATGTGCAGAGAAAAGCTTTTAAAGTATAAAATGGATCATGGTCAGCCCTACCGATGCCCTTCAACGCTGTGCAAGGGTTTTCTCATGGACACACTCGAGTTGACACTCAGTGTACTCTGGCCCTGCTCACCTCTGCAGCTCTCTGCATGCTCCTCTGGCTCATCACCATCTCACTTCAACCACACTGGTCTCCAGTTACACCAATCAATGTACACAATCCCTCAATACCCCAGAGAGTTTGCATAGCTTATTTCCTCTGCATGGAAGCTCAATCACATGCTGTATCCATTCCTCAATAAACGCCCATAAACCCTCCCTTCCTGGTAACCTGCAGATACCAGCTCAAACTACACAATTCCACAGCTAGCACAAGTTGCCCTATTTTAAGCTCCCAGGACACCTTCACCTCCTCCCTCGTGGGGCCTAGCTCAGTGCCTAATTACACATGCAACTGTTTCTCTCCTCCCTCGACTACAAGCAGCTCCGCTAAGATAGACAGTGTTCTCCTTTTATTAGTACAGTCCACCACAGTGGAGATAGGTTCCTCAACAAACGATGGCTTTGGGCTCTCAAACCCTGTTGCATCCATCACCAAAACAGGGCTAACTCTGCCAGGCAGACCAGGTGGCTGAACGGGCACCATCCTCCCCAGTGCGCCTCCTGCTACAGGAGCACCAGTTATGAGATGGGTTTTGTCTACATCCACGACTGTAAATTTTTCTGTTCCTATACTTTACAGCCAAATGATCATTAAGCACAAAGTTCAAGACACATCTGAGTAGCAATTCTGCAGAGAGGACTCTGGCAGTGGGTTACTAAGAAACACCATCAACAAGAAGGAAAACATACATTTCAGCCAACGGAACTCTTTGATGACAATACTGCTAAGTGGACATACGCACATGTATATATACACACACACACCCAAAGCAGTAGTTCTCAGAGCAGCGACCAGGAAAGACTGAGTTTACTTTGAGATACCATACAGTGAGGGCCTAACAGGCTTCTCTGCTGCCCCTCCTCCCACCCCCAGGGCCTGAGCTTGCATGGCACACTGGAGTGGGGTATACCAACTATATTCCCCATCTGCATTACAGATCAACAACTAATGGGCATTTCCTAACTCACTGTGTAGAATGTTTTAAATGGCTCAAGCTGTGGTTAATTTTTAAAAGATGTTCCCCTGTCATTGAGAACAAAACTGGTAGGAAGATGCCCCACCATGTATCTGGTTCTTAATTTATACCTAGTTTTGGCGTGTGTGAGGATCAATTTCATCTACTTGTTCAAAAACAATATGCACCTCAAATAAGCCAGGCATGATCGTAGGTACTGGGGATACACTCAGTAAGATAAAACCCCGCCACTCTTCAGCCAGGAGGTAACCTTCTGGTAGACAGACAAAAATATTTAAGAAAAATATAAAACAGGTTAGATGATAGGGCTGTGGTAAAAATCAAAAGGAAGAGGAATGGATGGGAATGTGTTTATGTGAAGTGGGGAATTAACACTGAAATGTGAGAGTCAAGAAAAGCCTCACTGAGCAATGGCCAAATGGCCATGGAGCTAAGACCTGAAGAAGGCTGGGAGAGACTCATGCAGATATCCTGGGAAAGCATTCCAGACAGGGGCGTCAGCAAATGCCAGGCCCTGAGGCTGAAGGCTCTTATCCTGAACACAGGGAACACCACAAGGAGGTGAGCGCTCAAGAGTACTGGGCTCCGCTCTGTGGCACTAAATGCCTCTGGCTTTTATTCTGGGAGCCAGGGAGTGCAACTGACGTGTTTCAGGTAGACACAGGATGATGAGGTGCTGCACTGACAGCAGACTGGAGACAGCAAGGGAGCAAGTAGCAAGGCCAGTTACTAGGCTACTGGGACCATCCGAGAGATGGTGAGGAGATAAGAGCGTGCCTTGGGCAATGGTATGGCCATGAATATCCTATAGGGTTGTTGGATTCTTTGGGAACTTGAAGGAAAAGCCCTGGGGCTAACTAACTCCCTGGAGAGCTGAGCACAGTGGTCTTCACACTTTCTCACTGCTATGGTTTATGTCCTAAGTGTCCCCCAGTGGTGCCCCTGGTAGCACTCCTGGGAGGTGGGGGAGGCTCTGAGAGATGGGACCTTGTGGGAGGTTGTGGGTCACAGGTGCTAGGCCCCTGAGGGGGACGGTGGGACTCCGGCCCACTTCCCATTCTCTCTTCTGCTTCCTGACTTGCACTTTGTGGTTCTGCTCTACTCACACACGCCCACCATGTTGTACTGCATCACCACAGGCCAACAGACCATGGGATGGAGCCTTTAAAACCCCTTCTGCCGCCAAAATAAGCCCTGTCTGTTCATAAGCTAGTTTCTCAGGTACTTGTTACAGTGATGGAATGCTAACTAAAACAATCAGATGTATGTTTGATTTAATCATTATTAACAGTGAGTTTTAACCTAGTACAGAAAATATCATTACGGACAGCAGAAATAAACAAAAATCCTTGTATCACATTATAAAAGAACTAAACATACAAGTATTTTTCACACTGGTCACCACTATATAGTCCACACTTTTCATTTTCTTTTTTTTTTTTTGAGTACCAGGAATCAAACTCATGACCTCAGGCTTGCCAGGCAAGCGCTTATGTCGCTGAGCTATATCCCCGGCCCCAGCACTTTTCACTTATCCTGAAAATAAAAGATTTCTCCAGTTAAGAGAAAAGACCATTCTATTCATGTGGCCATGACAGTTAATAAATCCACACAGTTTTCTTCTTTAAAGATCTACTGATACATAACATGATAAACACCAAATGGAAGGATTCTTAACAGCCAATGTCAGTTCAATATGGTGCAATCCTGAATTGCTCCAGCTGCAGGCTTGAGGACAGCCCAGAAGCAATGCTTGGCACATCCCTAAGGAAGTGTTGGTTTTTGTTTTGTTTTTTGGGTTTTTTTTCCCCTGTACAAAGACTGTCCCTGAGAAACTGAGGATAATAACATGATGTAAAGCAAAATGAACATGGCAGAACTCTTTACAAACTCAAGCGCCCTTGTTATTCTTTGCTCTGCTGATGGGGGCGGGTGGGGCACGGCACACAGCTGTTGCATGAAACCATTTCCCATTGCTCCAGGGCTGGGAGACAGCTTCTCACCTGCTATAATCAAGCTATGAGCATCTCATCTGTTCAGTAAACACACCCTGTCCTTACCTAAACAGAACACTGCTGTATGGTCAAACACTGTAAGTTGTCCTGATCTCTGCTTATAAACACATTCATGCTGATTCTCCATATTTAATTCTCAGGGTTGATAGGCCATATTTGTTCAGCTTCTCTCTACGGATGCAAACGTGAATAAATGTCTCCTGTAACACAGGGGCTGCCATCACACCCATCAGAGCAGAGCTTTTCAACCCTCAATATGCACATGACTTCTAGAGACTCGGTAAAATGCAGTTGCAGATACAGGTACTTTGTGTGAAAACATAAACTGTACATTACATAGATCTCTCAGTTTTTCTGAGCTATTTTAGTTCATCCTAATTTGTTTTTATTAGTATTTCACAGCATATATTTCTTAGTTTCCTTCTAAAGTATAACAGCAATGAAGAGTTTTTTTTAAAAAAATATTGTTTCTTGTGCACACCTGTAATTGCTACACTCTGGGAGGCTGAGACAGGAGAACTGCCAAGTATGAGACCATAGGGGGCAACTTATTGAGTCTCAAAATTTTTAAAAAAAAATTTTTAATTAAAAATTTTTGAAAAAGTTCAACAGGCTGGAAATGTACTTCAGTACAAGACCTAGGAAACTTAGCCACTTAAGAGTCTGTGGGGGGGGGGAGCTCAGTGTGAGGGCTCTGAGTTCAATTCCCTGTCCTACCAGTAAACCAAACCAAACCAAAAAACAAAACAAAACAACAGCAACAACAAGAAAAACCCCTACAAAAACACAAAACAAAACAAAATCCTCCACCATTT